TAAGCTTATATTATTATTTATTATTATTATTATTATTATTATTATTATTATTATTATTATTATTATTATTATTATTATTATTATTATTATTATTATTTAGTGCCATATGTTACCAGCATTTTCTTAAGATGTTGCCAATATTATTATTTATTGAAATGTTGCCAATATTTACCTGATATTGTTTCTGTAATAGCTTATTTCAGCTTTGTAATTGCCATTGATTCTTTTTATTTTTTATTTTTTTTTGTTTTTTGTTTTTTGAAATGTTAAGGGGGGAATGGCAGCTGGGAAAATGAAAGTACTTACCCTTGGCTCTTCACAAGGTTATCGCCAGCCCATATAAACATCCCCTCTCTTTGCTCATAAGAACATAAAATGGGCTACGTCGGCTGTCTAGTCCAGTATTCTGTTAGTAGGCCAACCAATTGCCTGAGAGAGATCAAAAAGTAGAATGCAAATGCTTAAGAGAGTATCTGTGTAATTAATGGACAATTCATAGTGCATTTGTCTGAAATTATCTGGTGTTTTCTTGAAATTACATGGATATGATATAGCTCTGTGTAGGAATAGGAAATATATTTATTTCCTATAATGTATTTGAGCTTTCAAAAAAAAAAGAGAGATCCATTTCTAACTGCACCTATTAAGACATCAGATGATCTTAATGCAATACAGAACATTAGAGAAGAGTTCAATGGACATAAAATTCAATTTGTCATCAGTTGATTAATATTTTGAAACTTTCCATGAAGAAAATTCTGTAGCTGAAAGTACTGATTGTGTGCACCTTAAATTGTACATTTTGTTTAATCATGTATGTTCTCATTTCTGTTTTGTTTGTTCGCCAGTTACAAAGGTCCATTGTTAGAAGATGGAGCTCTTACCCAGGCAGCTTCTGGCGGAGCTGCTTCCCCTGAATACACCAAACTCTGTGCTTGGCTTGTGTCAGAATTAAGATTATTTTGCAAACTAGAAGAAAATGTGCAAGCAACTAACAGTGAGTTACCATGACTCTAATATGAGAATGTATGAAGTCCATATGTAGTGTATGATTTGAGTGATTGTCTATTTTTAAAGCCACTCTCTTGTGAAGACATATCTGCTTAATAATCCAGTTCAAATTCAGGCAGTTCAAACTCAGAATAGTCTTTATTAGTTAAGGAAACAGACTCAAATGCATCATTTACACAATTTTGCAGAGCTGTTCAGCACGGAATTGGCAAGAGCCTATGCACAGCTCCACTGCTCATGTTCTAGCAGGGAGACTTTGCCAGTTTCCCTGAATATCTTTGTAGTCATAATGCTTATAAGCATGCCATTTTAAAAACAAAATCTGAATTTTCTGTGAAACTGAAAACGGTGTCAAATGGACCACTACTACATTGTGTGTTTGTGCACCTGTGGAATTGTAACTTTTGTACATGTTTTGAAAACTGCTCCTTTTCTGGAAAGCAGTTTGCTTTAATCTTTAGTCATGCATTTCATTCCAAAGGCTGACACCCTTTCCATCCTCAAAACAGGAGCGTGGCACTTATCTTCATAAATATATATGATCCAAATACTGATAAAGGGAGGAATAAAATCATATGTTTATAAGAGAACAATTAAAGCTTGGCAATAATAAACAGAAGCATAGGAACAAAGCAAGAGCAAAACGCTCGAGTAAACAAGAGAGTCTTTAACTGTTATTTGGAAATAGTCAAGCTGGACAGTTAATTTGATACCAAACTATTTTCAGCAAAATATTTATTTTTAAATTCTTGTCTCTTTAATGGCTGAACCTTTTCCACTATTATCAAGGAGGTAAGAGGGACGGCTTGTAGACAAAGGGCCTTTTCGGCAGCTGCCCCCAGACTATGGAATGCCCTCCCTACTGAGATTCGTCTGGCGCCGACATTGATGACATTTCGGCGCCAGGTCAAAACCTTCCTGTTCCAGAAGGCTTTTAACTGAAATAATATTAGCTGTGGCAATTTTATATATATATTAATTGTATTTTAATTGCTACATATCTTTATTGTATTTTAAATGCTGTAAGCCGCCCAGAGACCTTTGGGTAGTGTGGGCGGCATATAAATTAAATAAATAAATAAATAAATAATCTGTGTCTTAAGGTCCAAGCGAAGCAGATGAGTTCCAGCTTGAAATGAGTGGATTACTGAGTGAAATGAACTGCCCATATACAACATTAACTTCAGGAGATGTCACCAAGCGCCTTCTCAATCAGAAAAACTGTCTGCTGGTACTCAGTAAGTTGAGAAAAAATATGCTCCTTTTTATGCCTGTAATTGGGATCGTGCTGTCCCTTGTTGTAGCTTCAGATCTTATGATTGTGAAAGAAAGAATTTGGTTGGACCCATGAAGCTCATATTTAGGTCTTTCATATCAGTAAGATTGCTGTTATAATTCTAAATGATGGCTTTGATATAAGTAGCTCTTTGCTGCAGTTTGAATGATGGTTAACAATGTGAGAGGCTCATGGTAATTTTATTTGGAGTCATTCATTTGCCACTGCAAGTATTGCTGTTCATTTGCCCCTTCAGTAGTATTAAGTTACTTAATACACATAAAGGAAAGACTGCATCTACAGGCTTGTTTTCTTCCACATTCTCATGTTATGGAAAAGTGTGCCTGTGAATGATGCTGCGTGTTCTTACAGCAGACCTGCTATTTGGCTATAAGTGGGTCTTCAGATCCTTGTTTTTTCTGTATCTGTTCTCTTATTCAGTAGAGGATAGCATTAAGCTTCTGTGTTCTTGATTAGTAAAAATAAGCATTTCCATCTTTGGGAATTGTAAAATAGCATAATTTGTGCTAAAAACCAGTTTCTCTTTGCTATGTTGAATGGTCATTTTTCTTTCTTCAGCATACCTCATCTCAGAATTGGAAGCTGCTAGAATGCTGTGTGTGAATGCTCCTCCAAAAAAAACCCAGGAGGGCAGTGGCAGTGAAGTCTTTCAGGAACTAAAGGGCATATGTATTGCTTTAGGCATGTCTAAGCCTCCAGCCAACATAACTATGTTCCAGTTCTTCAGTGGGATAGAAAAAAAGGTAGGAACCAATTTAAAGGTAGCGGCTTTGACTCTGATTTTCTTGTGCATCAGCAATAAAAAATTATGCATCTGCAACTTTTCCCTCTGCTGTGGCCTGCCACACAGGGAAGAGCATCCCCTCTCTTAGAACCTGAAGTGTGACTTTTCAGAGGCATGATGGACTATAGCAAGAATTGAGTGGGTAAAGGGAAAGGTCCGTAAGTGTGCACACAGAATAGGCTTTTATTAGGCTTTTTAAAAAAACAGCTATTTAAGGGCCTCACATGTAAAAATATTTTCAGGATAGCTTGCAAAAATAAAATTATGGTTTAAAACAATGTGGTTAGAATATAGTAAATAAAGCACCATTAAATAGCGGAGGTAATGTTGAGAGCAAGATCTGAGGGACTAAAACATTTTCCGACTGATGCTGAAAAGACATTAGAGTTAGCCCCATTGAAACCTCCTCAAGAAGGGAGTTCACAGATCTGACACCACCACCAGAAAGAACATTTTCTTACATTGCTGCCCATACCCTTGCATGACATGGCTTCCAGAAATGATTTCAGTGAACAAGTAGGCTTCTTTTTACAAAAGGCAGTCCTTTGGGTAGTCAGGCCACAACCTGTTAATGCTTTAAAGCTAGTTTCAGCATTTGCAATTCACCTTTTAAAAAAGTGAAGTTTTTAGGTGTTCAGTCATTCACTCATCCACTTGATGGGATGGTATAATAAAGTATTCCCTTCTTTCACAATGTTTTTTTTCTCCCTAGAAATTCCCTTGAATGACCAAAGTCATTCTTGATCTGATTCCTTAAAAATTCTAAGCTCTAGGATAAGCAGTCTAATTTTATTGTGTGAGCCATGAGCAAACAAATGTTGAAATATTTTTATTTCTTTATTCATATCAGAGTATTGCACAATTTAAAGTTATGAACATATATTAAATATAGGCAAGATTAAAAGCAAATTAAAATGTTAAGATAATTAGACTGTTCTTGACCAGAAGAAGATTTCTTCAATATTGTTAACTTGGTCACTTGCTGGTGTTCTTTTATACATATGTTGAGGCATAAATTGTATGCACCTATGCTGAGATCATAGTCTTTGTTTAGTCTTAAGATGATATGCATAAGGTTGGCTGTGATAAAGAAATGTACAGAGGTTAAGACCCTGTTTTTGCAAATAGTAAATTTCGTTGCTCTCTGTATTTTTTTCTTTTTTGGTTAAAATAACTGCCCCGTTTCTCTTTATTTGTGTTTTCCATCCATTAAGGAACTGAGATTGGTGTGTTACTTTTTTACAGTTGCGAGTCCCACTCCTTTTTTCGTTGTGTTTATTCCTGTAATTTTTTGAGGATGTTTTTTAATTCTGACACATCTGAATGTGTATGCAGTGACCGAAGTACTGTAATGAGTTTGGATTCCAAAACTGTATAATTTGTTTATGTATAATTTTTTTCCAGAGCTGTATACTTTTGTTGAGGAAAAGCCAGTCTTCTGTTGATGTTAACACTGTGTGTTTTATTACAGTTGAAAGAAACATTAGGGAAGGTTCCGCCAAATCATGTAGGAAAACCTTTACTGTCAAAGCCGCTGGGTCCAGTTCATTGGGTAAGTTCTTTTTTGAAGGACTGTTTTGAACATTTTTTACTGGGATTTCAATTTTTTCTTTTGCTCATTCAAAAACAGAGTGAATTTTCTGTGGCAATTACTTCATATGGTTGGCAAGCAGAGTACAAATTACATAACTGACATTACCTATATCCAGATTCTATTTTCTGGGAGCGATTTGAAGGTACATTTTGTGAAAGTGAACTCTTGTCCTGTCCTGTTCTCATTGTCGTATGCCACGGGCGAAAGAAAGAGGTGACAGAGTTACACGATTTACCTAACTTGTTTTTTTTCCCCCTCCCAGCTCTGGGAACAGAGTCGTCACTTAAAAAGGGAAAACAAAAACCTTTACCAAGGCCTAGTTAAAGAGTAAGAAACATGCAGGCTGTACTGTATATTAGCTCAATTCTTTTAGCTTCCTGGTGCCCCCTGATGGAAGAAAAAAATATTTGGCCGGGAAAGGAGATATGATACACTTGCCTCCAGAATGCTAATGGATGGATTCCTTTTATGTGGTCTATGTTTTCAGTAAGGTTACGGAAGTTATTGAATATTTGATCTTAGGACTGATTATCCATTTTTGATAATCCATGGGCAGGCTGTCTCAACAGCAGTCACTGGCTGGGAAAATGTTCCAGTTCAGTTTACTCAAGGTCTTTTTAGGGATTTAGGCATGTAGCTTTAAGACCATGCCCTTTTCTATGATGTCACAACATTATAGCTGTTATCTGGGAAGTCCAGATGCATGAATCTGTACCTCAATAGGTGGAAAGATATCTAGATGCAGATAGATTCCATTAAAGCATGTTGACTGTTCATGGCACTGTTGTGCTCTTAAAGATCATACGGCTTGGAGAAGATTGAGAGTGATCTTGAATTATTTTCATGTAAACTGCAGTGCATCCACCTACAGTTTGCATTGGCTAACCTAGTAGTTTTGTGCAGCAGCTGTTTCTGTGATGTCACGTCTGTTCTTCTGCTTAGTTTTGCACCTCTCTTGCACATTTCAGCTAGCTGTTCTCAATGCTGGCATAATATTCCTAATTAAATCTTGTTAGGCATTTATACAAATGATATAACTTTTGGGAGCAAATTGCTTTAAGAAGCCAGCATGTAGCAGGTAAGATTTACAAAGATTTCTGAACTTAACTGCAATTAGCTTCTTTAAAGTTAGACCATTTGTGTAGCTGGATTTCAGCTACAGTGGTACCTCGCTAGACAATGACCCCAATAAACGGCGAATCCACATAACAATGACTTTTTGCGATTGCTATAGCGATTCGCATAACAGTCATTCCAATGGGCGATTTTCGCTTGACCATTTGGTCAGTGCTTTGTGAACCGTTTGTTTGCAAGACGACGATTTCTACAGCTGATCGGTGGCTCCACAAAATGGCTGCCCTGTGTTTTCCGGACCCATACTTCGCAGGACAGCCATTTTTACAGCTGATCAGCACTTCGCAAAATGGCTGCCCTATGGGTGATCTTCGCAAAACAAGGTATTTTCCCCATTGAAAGGCATTAAACGGGTTTCAATGCATTCCAATGGGGAAATGTTTTTTGCATGACGATGATTTCTCTAAAACAGCAATTTCAATGGGACGGATTATCATCATCATGTGGGTCACCACTGTACTGTGTATTTGTTTCTCATTTTAAAAACTATGCCGTATCTTCCATTGCATTACAACATGGATGGGCTCACTAGCCGTATTTTAATATCCAGACTATCCATGCAGGCCTAAAACGTTGCTTTATTATTTCAGATTTAAAGCATGTTGACTAGTCATGGCATTGCTGTGCTTTGATTCCCCCCCCCCTTCAAAAAAAGGTCCGTTACCATTAAAACAGCACTGCTGCTTTTGGCTTGTATCATGTTCACTGTAGGTGGAGCATCAGTGCTGTACCTATAGCACTTCCCTGATCTCTAGCTATTACATAAGCTGGAAGCAGCCCCTGTTAGATAGCAGCTTCTTGTCTTCTGCTGAGAGGAGAAGTGCTGGCCCAGCATTCTGAATCCCCTCCTACTTGCTGCCACCCTGCATAATGTACTGCATTTTTCCGTGTATAAAACACTTCTTCCTAAAATTAGAGGAAAAATTAAGTGTTTTTTTATACACGGAAGGAAGCAGTTGTGCTCAGGGACCTCTTGCTGTTGCCGCTGCCCAGTTGCCTCTTCCAGAGCTCACAGCTTGTCTCCTCTGGTGGCCCCGAAGCAGCAGCAACAGGAGGTGGAGGCGAAGGAGCATTCACACGTGCTTGGGCGCCTCTTGCTGTTGCCTTCCCCGCCCGCTTGATCACCACCTCCAGTGGATTGACAGGCTCAGCTCATGTCCGCTGCCTTGTCCCCTCTGGTGGTGGAGGCAGGAGGAGACAGAGGTGGAAGTGAACAAGCACTCACATGCACTCACATGCCGCCAGATAAGCTCCTCGCACAATCTCCTTAGGGCAGGCACATGAGCTGGAGGTGAGCCTCAGCAGTTGCACTGGAGGAGGTAATTGTATGGGCAGCGGAGACAACAGCAGCAGGAGATGGAAGTGGAGGACCAGTTGCCCATTAACTGCTCCTCTGCCTCCATCAAGGGTCATAATTAGGGGGGTGTTTTATCCATTGGGGGTCGTATATATCATAAAATGTGTTATAATTTGTTCCCATATCACTGCTTTCATCTTACTGCCTTGAGTTCCTTTAATAGAATCTAATGAGGAACAAAGGGAGGACAACAAGAGAAAGGAGCAGTTGATCTTGCAGATTGCATTCCAAACAAACATCTGGTTGAATACTGTTCAAATGTCTTTTCAACTGTATAATGTCAAAGGCCAATTTGGGCGCAGCTATACTTTATTGAGCCAAAGTTGATGTTGGACCCCCTGGCTTCCTTTTCTCATTCATGGGTTTTGAAGCTTCATATCTGGTCTCTCTCCATCAGTTTTCTATTACACCTTGAAAAGGAAATTGTGAGACTTTTGTTACCAACAAGGATTTTTCCTCAGAATCAAATAATTTATCTTATTAAACCAACTCAAAATGATGACAACTCATTATACTTGAAAGAAGGGGGGGAAATTAAAGCTGGTACCTCCCAATGGATCATGTTTCCCACCTGGTAGCCCTTTGGGAGCACACACCTTGTCTGTGCTGTCGTGGGCTTTCTGCACCATGTAGTCTGCATAGAGATTGTTCTCTCATGCTTTTGAGGGTTCTGCTGTATATGCAGACAGATTTATTTAAAGTTGTGTTTTTTGCCATTGTGACCACTGCAACTCGTGACAGTGGGCAAATTAAGTGACTGATTTGGGAATTTGTGTTGTGGCTGTTAGGCCAAATGGCAAGGACCAAACCAAAGTAAGTACCAGTGTGTTTGAATTCCATGCTTCTTCATGTCCAGGAATGCTATGTCTCAGCCAGCCTGCTCTCTTGCTCAGAGATTCAGGAGGAAAACGTTTAATTTAATTTATTGTTCAGGTTTCAGCAAATCTGTGCCATTTTCATTTCAGGAAAAAATTGAAGCTATTAATCAAGCCATAGCCAATGAATATGAAGTTCGAAGGAAATTATTAGTGAAGCGTCTGGATGTCACTGTTCAGTCTTTTGGCTGGTCAGATCGAGCAAAGGTACAACCTGCTTTCTGTAAGCAGCCTTTATGCCTGCCAGAGCTTTGCTGCCTGTTATTCAAAACTGCCTCTCCTTGTTCATGAGACTGGGGGAATCCCATCGGTACACTTGATCTGTGAATGTATTGCAAGGTGTTTAGAAATAATCCTGACAAGGATTTACGATACATTACTGCCAGGTGGAGTGCTTCCTGGCCAGGACTCCAGCCGCTGCATTCCATGTTCCCCATCTGGCCAGCCCCACACACTCCAGGAACAGTGAGCATTTTGTAGCCACTAAGCTCACTCATTCATCATTAGACTGTTGTGCTGCCCACCCCTGTCTCCTCCAAAAGATGTTTATAGTTCTGCAAATCTTGCGGTTACTGCTAGTCTTCTGAACCTCTTTCTTGTTTGTGCATAGTAATGCTTTTGCTCTTTAAGCACCAGCACTCACAGCCTGAACATAAGCTATAGGAAGAGTGATACTTGGATTGCTGTTCCTGTAACTTTAACATAGAATTGTCCATTCTGTACTTGAGTTGCCTGTAAATAGACACAGTCAGCTTTTACTACATATCTATCATTGACAGAAACATACCATTAGTTGTGTTCTGTGCATTTAATCAAGAAGAACGTTGGACTTCTTATTTCTAATGCTGTTAATTAATTGGGTCTGAGAAGGCAGCCAAATATAATCACTGCATTACTCTGTGGTAGGACCAGGAGAAGGAGTGTGAAGAATTAATTCCCAGGTATTTGAATTTTTTAACCTGTTCTGTCCGTTGGCCCTCAGTAACCCAATCTTTGGTTTTACTATGTCTAGGGAAGACCATTATTTTGGTTTTTTTTTCAAAATTGAGTTTTCCTGCAATAACTCAAAAAGGCACATATGATTCGTTTAAGGTCAATTTCTGAGAGCAACATGAGAACCGCATCATCTTCATATGGTAGCAGGACTACATTGGTTTTAGCCAGTTTCAGGGAGTGATATTCAGGTGCTAAACAACTTTTAGAGAGGTTAAGATACAAGTTGAATAGTGTGGGTGCTAATATGCAACCTTGGCAAACCCCTCTGTTGAATGCATTTTATCAAATACGTTGCAGTCCTTATTTGCCATGCCAAAATGCACCTCTTCAGCCGGTCTGCGACTTGAAGCTGGTATGCCCTCAGTAGAATGTCAAGCATGACTACATGCATTTTGTTATCGGTTAAAGGTTGTTAACATGGCTACCTATGCTATTTGCAGAAAGATGTCTTTGCCAGCTCATGGTATAAGGGATTTAGAAAACAACCGCATCTCTTAGGCTTATCTATGGATTTCCTACTGAGACAGCCAAAAGGTAGCATTAAGCCAATACTTATTCAACATATGAAAGATACAGACCTTCCGTACTCTGTAGCTTGTGCAGACTTATTCACCACTGTGTTTTGACCTAAATTTTAACTTCCCCAAGCCAGTTAAGTACTTATACCAAATTACAGCACTGAGATATCACTTTGCCTTTTCAAGGACTGGATTTAACTGCCTTGCCTCAGTCCTTTTAAAAGGGCGTTTTAATACCACCCCATACAGTGAAAGAATTTATCCTTTCAAGAAAGAAATTATTGAGTCCTTGGGGCACATCATTTTAGAAACTTCTTCAATATCTTGGTTCAATCATGAGTAAATGTACTGGTCTACCTCCCACAGGCTATCTGAAGTTTCTGTTGTGGAGAGAATAACACAGTTAGTGGTTAAATTTTTATTTTCAGCTATGAGAACTTGCAAAACACTATAGCAAGATTTTATACTATGTAATTATTTTATCTATTTTATCTTTGTATAATTGGGTCTACAACCACATAATAAAAATGTACTTAGACTGCATTACTCAGTGTCTGCTAAACTTCTATTTTATAGCAGAGCTTCCTATTTCTTGCTTTTGTCTAGAGCTATACGTAGGGAAGCTTAAGTTTGCAAAATACAATTTGGTATTTGTAATTTTCATGATGCATCATGCATCACAAGATTATCAAGCTTCCAAAGATGCCTCAAAAGCTGCCTTATATGAAATGAATCAGCCCAAAGGTTGAGCTGAGTTTTAAAGATATTCACGAGGAGGGATATAACCAAAAATATCAACTTGTTTTAGCCCAAGGCTCTTGCTGCTAGTTATTAAGCCCAACAGAAGCATTTCAAGCATCCACAATGGGAACCCATTTTTATGAAAATGAAAAATGCTTTGTAGCGTCGGGGCACGACTGTATGGTGAATTCCAGGAGGATCAGAATCAGTCCCAAAGGCTCCATATTGTAACTCAGCATTGTCTAAACTGTCTGGCATTGGATTTCTAGGATTCTAGAAGTAGAGATGCTACTCAGATATGTCATGCATTGAAACTCTAGCCAAGATCTCAGTAATGGGGCTTAGAAGCAAATTTAGCAGTGGTCTTCCAAGGTTATGTGCCGTTGGGAACAACAGTGATGAAAGTGATGGCCTGAAATCAAGCTGGGCACGTTTATACATTAGTTAGGCTTTCTTGCTGCACTCTTACCAAGAGTTGCTACTGACAAGACTACAGAATTGCAAGGAAAAGCTCATATATCATATGGCCTGTCTGTTTGAATGCTGTACCATGGGTATAGTTTGAAAAGTAAGAGGACATCAAGACAGATTATATTAAATAGAAGATAAATTATGGAAGGTTGGAGCGGAAGGATGAAGGCGATATCTCCAGATCTATCTCAGAATGATGTGTTCTTGTGTCAGCAATTGCTGTCAGACAAATCTCACCTTTCTTTGTGTTCAGTGATTGTAGCCGCATTAAGCCCAGGAAACAGGAATTATTGAATGTACTTGGAAACATGATTTTAACCATAACTGCAGAACCAAATAAGATGGCAAATTGCCCAATTTTGCACTCTAGGTTTGTTATGACAACTGTTACTGGAGCTTGAATCTGTTATTAGAGTTGCGGTTGTTTTAAAATGCCATGGAATGAAATTTTTTTAATTGGACTTTTCAGTAGAATGTCAATAACTGTTGATCTCTCTTTTTCTCCCCCACCTCTCTCTCCCTCCCTCCACCTCTCTCCTCTTTCTGTGTATATGTTATAGAGTCAGACGGAGAAATTGGCTAAAGTCTATCAGCCAAAGCGTGCCATCTTATCTTCTAAGTGCACTATATCTGTTGCTCACCTCTTGGCAGCTAGGCAAGACTTGTCAAAGATTATGAGAACTAGCAGTGGTTCTATCAGAGAGAAGACGGCATGTGCCATTAATAAGGTATTTCCCTTGTATTGTTGATAGACTTTAATTCCTCAGGTGCTGTAGCTACTAAGAAGCTCCATGAGAAGAAACTTTTGTGTACATGATAGAATAGCACTGCTTTCAACATATACTGTGCATGCTAGTTCTCTTCTCTCTCCTTCATCCATTCTGATTGTCTGTTTTTACAAGTTTACTTAATTCACATTATTTCTAGGTTCCATAATATTAAAAATTACGTGAGTTGTAATAACATCTGAACATCTTACAGCCATAGGAAAAACTGTAGGCATAAATACTTAAAAATCCATCCTTGCAACATGTATAAAGATCCTAGTGTCAAGACCTTAGCAAAAGTATAATAAAATAGAAAAAAAGAAGGTTTTAAGTTAAATTCCAAAACATAGTTTATGGCAAGCTTCCCTCTAAGCCATGTGTGTGGTACTCCACCTCCCTCTGAGCCGCTCTCTTCATTCTCTGGACAGCAGTTGGGTTCAGCCCCTTTGATTCTGGTCGTAATGGAACCCTGCGCGTGGGTGGGGCAGAGTCGTGTGCACCTTCAGGGGTGAAGTTCTGCGAGAGAAAGGTGGAGCCCAACCTAGTGGGGCTCAGAATTAGAGGGTACATTGGTTTATAGCCTGAAAAGGCAGAGAATAAATCTCTAGATTACATCAGAGTTTTTGAGAATGAAAGTATTAAAAGCAAAAAAGCTTCTAACTTTTAGTGAAAGGCATAAATATAAATATATATAAAGTAAAAAACATTAATTAGCTCTAAGCATGTTAAGAACATACACGGGAAACCATTTTCTCACCAAGCCTCATGTAAAATCCACTGTTGGCTTTCATTGCCACACTCATATTTTTGCTGCTCTAGGGATGTTCACCTAGCATCAGTTCCCTTCTCTGTCTCATGCTTTATATCCTGTTTGGATAATATATATATCCATTCAGTAACAGTGTGTGTCTCCCATTGCGTCTCATAACACTATATGATTTCATCCTGTATTTATAGTCTAGTTTAAATCAAAACAATAAGCCTTTATATAGGAAGGCTAAAATGTCACTGTGATAACAATCAGGTGGCATAGCTTATTGTTGTGGGAATGTTCTGGTCCTCCTGTCCTCATCAAAACATTTATTTGTTATTAATTCTGAGGCTAAAGTCTTAATAAACAAACGACACATTCTCTTCTTCTTCTTGCTTATCATTAAACAACTTAAAATAGCATTGATCTTTTTCTTCTTTTACAAAATTCTGTAAAAGCTTCTATTGTACAATATATTCTTCTTATTTGCCTAACACGGGTTTCCACATCTATTTTGCAGCATCTCTTTGGCAATTAATATTATAAGTAAAACATAGCACAAGTGGCATTTTAAAATGCACTTCATTTTTTTCTCCTGTCTGTTCACATTAGACCATTGTTCTGTTTACTCTTTCTCACAAAAACTGGCACGAAACTGAATTAGTTACTTCTGCCTTGTTAACTTATCAGTAGTTTTGTTCCAAAACAATATGGGTGTAATGTAAACTGTCTCCTGAGTAGTAGTTTTTCAAATGTACTTTTACTTTTAATGCACTCCCAAAGCACTTTTTAAAAGAACTTTTCATTTTTAGGGCAATACCTCTGCACCCTGTAAACTCAATTTTTTGAACTACTCACCCACAAAAAAATAGCTGAAGCAAAAAAAAAGCCCTGCTCACTGGATTCCAACAAATCTCAACCCTATTATACATTAAAATTTCCCCCTCCCCCATACATTCTGATTGGCTGTGAACTGCAACTCTTTCAACACTGTTGGATGAAAAAAATTCCTGGGTGATTTATAGACAAAGGATGCAAGAAAAATTAAAGAGGGAAACACGAAAAATCACAAAACTTTTGTGTACCGTTTTTCATTAATACAAATCATTCATGTTCGAGGCTCTCAGTAACTGATGAAAGAACACTAAAGAGAGCCTCTTTCATGTGTTTCATTTTCCCTTTCATGTAAATCATCATCTTAGAACTGCAGAGATGGAAGGGACCCTGTGGATCATTGAGTCCAGCCCATGTCAAGGAGGCACAGTTGGGAATCAAACTTCCAACCCTTGGCTCCACAGCCAGATACCTAGACCACTGAGCTATCTATGAAAAGCTATCCCTATAAGATACCCTTGTACAGTAATTGTTTTAGATGTTCCTTCAGAGCTATGATTATCAGCATGATAATGCAACATTGTAATTTCCATTAAAAGTCCAAATTCTGTCTCAGAAGTGGACTTACTGGTCTTCAAAAGGCATACTCAGAACTAAATCCAGTTGTTAGTTCCAACTAGAGTATACCTGTAGACTTATTGTAAGTATTGATTTCACAACACTTGTTAATCCAGTTGGGATTATAATTGAATTTAGTGCGTAGCCATGTTCATGTTATATAATAGTGACAGGAAGGCTATATATATTTCCAAATATAAAATCCAGTTGAAAGGTTTTTACATTTTAGATGTTGGAATTTCCTACTATTTTATTATTTCGTTTAAGCTCTTTTAAAATATGTTTGGTATTATCTTTAAAAGCCTAAATCAGGAGTCTCTTACGGTCTGTGGGCTACATCTGGCCCACCTTGCCTTTTTATCTGGCCTGGCAGGTGGAAAATCGCTGTTAAGCGAAATTGTCGTCAAGCAGGGGAAAAAACCCATTGGAATGCATTGAAAACTAGTTAATGCATTCCAGTGGGGGAAATATCTGATCATCCAGCCAAGATCTTCCATAGGGCGGCCATTTTACGATCCCTGTGTTGCGAAAATAGGTCCAGAAAACGCGGGGAGCCATTTTGCGAGCCACCGATCAGCTGTTTTTAATCGTCGTCCAGCGAAAAAACGGTTCCCGAAGCAGGAACTGAAACGATGTAAAGCAAAAAAAACCCCATAGAAACATCGCTATGGCGATTGCAAAAAAGTCATCGTAAAGTGATTTCGTCATCTAATGCTGTGGTCCCCAACCTTGGGCCTCCAGATGTTCTTGGACTACAACTCCCAGAAGCCTTCACCACCACCTCTGCTGGCCAGGATTTCTGGGTGTTTAAGTCCAAGAAAATGGCCAGGATTTCTGGGAGTTGAAGTCCAAGAACATCTGGAGGCCCAAGGTTGGGGACCACTGACGGAGTCATCAAGTGGGGCACCACTGTATTTGTAAAGAAATCATAACATCACTGTTTCATTTTATTTTTAAGTAAAGTTGGTTCGGGCCCTGAACACAGTTCAGATTTTTCATGTGCCCCCCCAATAGAAATTAATTGCCCACCCCTGATCTTTCTGAATATTGGCTTTGATCTGCTGAATTTTTTCCTCACCATTGTGTCTCTTCAGTGTGCATTTACATAGCAGATCTACACCCTTACCCCTTTTTTCCTGCATGGACTGAAAATTTAATTTGTATGAATCTTTTAATGTTGTGTCAGTGGATTATTAAGTAGCAAAGTTACTTTGCTGTGTTAATTCTTCCAACGCATTGATTTCTTCTCCTTATAGGTATTAATGGGCCGAGTACCTGACAGAGGTGGTAGACCCAATGAAATTGAACCACCACCCCCAGAGATGCCACCATGGCAAAAAAGACAAGATGGTCCTCAGCAGCAAAGTGGTGGAGGCCGAGGTGGTAGAGGTGGCTATGAATCATCGTATGGAGGCCGTGGAGGTTATGAACATGGGGGTCATGACAGAGGAGGACGAGGAGGATATGACCAAGGTGGTTATGAGAGAGGAGGCAGAGGCGGATATGACTCATCATACGGAAGTCGAGGTCATGAACATGGGGGTCACGAACGAGGAGGACGAGGACGTGGTTATGACCATGGAGGCAGAGGGGGAGGAAGAGGAGGCAAGCCTCAAGGAGGCTGGACTGATGGTGGTGGAAGTGGCTATCAAGATGTCAACTATAGGGACAGTAACTACAGAGAAACCAACTTTCAAACTGGGGGTTACCATGGTGGTGGTGGCAGCAGCGGTTACCAAGGAGGTGGCTATGGTGGTTACCAATCTTCGTATTCAGGAAGTGGCTATCAAGGTGGTGGTGGAAGCTACCAGCAAGACAACAGATACCAAGATGGGCATTCTGGTGAACGAGGAGGAGGCCGTGGAGGAGGGAGAGGAGGCCGTGGGGGCCGAGGAGGCCGTGGTGGGCAAGGTGGTGGCTGGGGAGGAAGAGGTGCACAGAACTTTAATCAAGGTGGGCAATTTGAGCAGCACTTCCAGCATGGGGGTTATCAGTACAATCAGTCTGGATTTGGGCAGGGAAGACATTTCACAAGCTGAGGCTTCAAACATTTATATTTTGGCAGAGCTCAACTAATAGACATCTGTTCTTAGCTTTTTTTTTTAAATTAGTACCAGATCACATATGACAGGCAACTTCTGGAAGATTATCTTATCTATCTGAATGTGCAGATAGGTCTGGTGCTGTCTAAACTTTTAGTGCAGCTTTTCTTCAAGACTCTTTAGAACAGTAGCCATAGTTCTGTGTACTAAAGAAATCTAGAGAGTTGGGAGTACCTGTCAACACCTGCAGTATGAAAAACAGCCTGCCATTTTTTACATAGGCTCCTGGTTTTCTTTTAAAATCTTGCACAATTTAAGCTATTTTCAACATTGCTTTCACTCTGACTTCCCCCTAGCCAGCAAGCTGATCCCAAACGTAGGTTGTAAAACAGCAGATAAGTGTGAAGTTAATTGAGCATAACTCCCATTAAGGTCAGTTGGATTTATGCATTTTTAACTCTGCAGAATTACAGCCTACTTCAATTGGCTTGTGCCTATTATATGAGCTCTGCTGCTGACAACTTGTCTCTCACTGATTGAAAACCCTACCATATGTCCGCACCAGATAACCTGACCGCTGTCATACCATGCAAAGGTCATATATCAAACCAAGCTAAGTTGTGAACAGGTAATATATATAGCCTTGTGCTTCAGCATAATTCAGTTTCATACAAACAGTTGATCCCCATCCCTCACCCTGACCAACTTAAATTTTACTTGAAATTAGCTAGCAGTAACGGCAGTCTGAAACTTGTTTTATGCACGAGTTATCAGCAAATGCTGGATGGTTCCATTTTGACATCGAATTTAAGACAAAATGCTTCAGCTGGGTTGGTTACATTTTTCTTTATGAAAAGTTGCATCAAGTGCGCCTTGCCTGGTTTTTTTGTGCGTGTGTGCGTGCGTGTGTGCATTGTAAAGCTGTGAAAGAAAATGGCTGAAGGTGTGCTGTTGTATAAAGGTGAGCAATAAAAGCATCTGTTCTCTTATTTGTTGGTTTCTCTTTTCTGTTTCCAGTAGAGACCTCATTGCTTCAGAGAGAAGTCAAGAATTTCCTTGCTGTTTGCTAGCAAGCTTTTGAAATGCTGCTAATAGGAATGTAAGGGAATTCTTGTCTATCCCTTGATGGTAGCTTGTAGAACACAGATAATAGGAAATGGACCTGTGGTGTACAGAGGCAATATTACGTTTGTTACAGGTTTGCCTTTAGCTTTATCAGTGAATGTTAGTGGAGTGAATGCTGCAGATAGAGATGGAAGCAGAAGGAAGTGCTTCCCACTTTAAAGGTATTGAAATACTTAAGAGAGTTCTGTGGCAATTGTCAGTCCCATGCTCTTCAATACATATATAAGAGAACAGATTTAGGGTCCTTGATGTAACTGAAACAACTTTTGCACATTACATTCTTTGGTTCAGTAAGCATGAATGTCAGCTGGCACCCCAAAAATATTCCTAAGTTTTAAATTTTCCTAAAGGGGAAAATGCCTTGATAAAATGGGAGATTTGATTAATTTTGTTCCAAAATTAAAGTGGACTGGGCTACTTTTCCATTCTCAGTTCAGAACTCGGGTTTTGAGTTGCATGCTTATTCTTTCTTCCCGTCTCGGAAGTCTTTTTCTTGTCTTCTAAAAATAATGTAGCAGGTAGCTGTTGTTTCCTTCTTCTATCTCTGACCAAAAAGGTCACACTAAGTTATTTCTAAACTTCAGTTATGAAGTAACCTGTGAACACAGTTGAATTTACTTTGTGCATCTTGCATTTGGCTAAGAACCAGGTCATCCCTTTCCTTGGGGAGAAAGAAGTGACTCCCTTAGGCAGTAGAGTTCGGGAAGTGGCATGAAAGGGCAACAAATACATATTTTGTTGCATTTTTACTGCCAGAGAGGCGGAGAGATCTTTCTGGGTTATTCTGCTTCATGTGCCAAAATAATAATGGCATTTCTAGGTACTGTGGACCTTGGGAGGGCACAGGCTATGATCTTAAGGCTCAAGCAGTCTAGAATTAGAACTATAGTATTGTATTAATTTTATGTACAATCTGCAGTGGTTTATATATCATTTCCTAGGTAAAGGTAAAGGTTCCCCATGACAATTTTTGTCCAGTCGTGTTCGACTCTAGGGGGCAGTGCTCATCCCCATTTCCAAGCCATAGAGCTAGCGTTTGTCTGAAGACAATCTTCTGTGGTCACATGGCCAGTGTGACTTAGACACGGAACGCTGTTACCTTCCCACCGAGGTGGTCCCTATTTATCTACTTGCATTTGCATGCTTTCGAACCGCTAGGTTGGCGGGAGCTGGGACAAGTGACGGGCACTCAGTCTGTCGCGTGGATTCGATCTTACGACTGCTGGTCTTCTGACCCTGCAGCACAGGCTTCTGCGGTTTAGCCCGCAGCGCCACCACGTCCCATATCATTTCCTACCATGCTCTAGTCTAAAACATTAAGTTTGGACACCTTTTGAAATCAGACCTACTATTTTGTGCCAAGATTGCAACCATGGAGTTCTAGACATGGAACTACTTTTGGCTCAGCAAAGGTGATTTCCTGAAGGTGATTTCTACTACAGCTGATTGAAGTTGCCAAAGCTTTTATGACCACTAGATGTTGCTCTTGATCCACAAGCAAAAGAAAAACCACTCCGCTTAAAGGTTTTTCTAAATTGGTTGTTGTGGGTTTTCCGGACTGTTTGGCCATGTTCTTAAGGTTTTCCTTCCTAATGTTTCCCCAGTCTCTGTGACCGGCATCTTCAGAGGACAGGAGTCAGAACTCTGTCTGTGCTCTGTTGCAGTTAGTTGGATTTTTTTTCTAAGTGTTTATTGATTGGTAAACGTGGATTTTTGTGTTCTGTATTCTAAATAATAAAAGAGAGCCCTGTTCAGCCATTATACCTAAATGGGAATTTCAGCTTATGTAGGGAGTGTGAACCTTATTTACTTTATTTATTTAGTTATTTATTTAAAATATTTTTACCCCAGCTTTCTCCTTAAAAGGACCCAAGGCAGCTACCACCTTCCCAACACCACCACCAAATATCAAAGGGAGTAATCTAAAAGGGACTTCTATGTCCCTTTTAGAGCCTCTTGACACAGTGGGCAAATTGCAGTACTGTAGTCAAGACTTTGCTCATGAGCTGAGTTTGATTCTGATGGGCTCAGATAGCCAGCTCGTAGTTTTATTTATTTTATTTATTTATTTTATTTATATCCCATCTATCTGGTCAGTCATGACCACTCTTAGTTGACTTAGCCTTTCATCCTTCCAAGGTTGATAAATTGAATAATAAGCTTGCTGCAGGGAGATGCAATGTGTAGTTTGTATAATTAAATTGTAAACAGTCCAGAGAATGCTTTGAGCGCATGGACAAGCACCCTTCAGATTTTTTCACTTAATACAGAAAAGCTGAGAGTAGGGAAGGGGATGGTGATGCGTATAGAGGCAGGGAGTGTCCCATACTCCCTGCAAGAGTTGATAAGTCCTGGAATAGTGTATGAATAAAGTTGTCAAAGGAATCTGCCTACAATTCATGCATATAGGAATTATGGAAAATCTACATGCAGGTAAACGGTGGCTTTACTCTTTCATCAACATCAATTTCAATGGAGATGTGAAAGAATAAAAAACTTAACATATGTGTAGGTGCTACTCATTCAGTGCATGTACTGAGTATGGTATTTTCATCCAACTTGGACTGCCATTTTTGGGAACCGTTAATGATTAGGAAGAGCCTTCAGACTATTTTCCAGCTCTATGGCAAGTTACAAACCACCTGTAAAAATACTGTACAAAAATTGTGGTTTCTCAGGAATGGGGAACACAATGCTTACCATCCTGGAGACTCCACAAATTTTGTATATCTACAAACATGTATGCCTCTGACGTGTATTCAGGATTGGTGAAGATGACCATTGCTCACTGAACCGTATGTCAGCAAACAGACAAGTGAATGCAGTTGTAGTAGTGGTAGAAAGTGCATAACAGCATGAGATTTGAAACAAACAGAAATACAATGACATGTGACCTAAAGCAATTAAGCGATTTCAATCTGGGGCCTTCCCACGTTACTCTGACATTGTCACTTTCCTAGACATGGGCCATTCTGTTGTGGGTAATGCCAGTTACATTGGTAATTCTTTCTAATGGTCTCCCTCCCTCCAATTTAGTGATGATGCATCAATAAAAAGCCCATGTGGTTCATCCTGTGTGTAGACAGCCAGTGGTTCTCCCCCCCCAGCAATATTGTTGTCTACCAGGAAAGCAGAATGATAGTGAGATAGGAAAGCTCTGTGGAAGGGAGTATGTGCATAGTGCTAGTTTTCAGGTAACTACCATAGTAGCATGAGATTTCAGCAATAACATTACTGCTGTGGAGGGTGCCAGACAACCCTTGCCCTCAGTTTACCCTCTTGCAGCTGGACTGTTTTGTATTGTAGGGAAGAGAAAAAGTCTGAGCTCATATGAAGTACTAAACCTCTGGAAGACAAAGAGGAACTACAAATGTAATATCTAGTGGTTTAATTCTTAAGTGAAACAAACAACGTTGGGGGCTTTCATTGTTCCCTCACCCGCCCCAGTGTTAAGGGTTGGTCCTCTGTTATGATTAGTTGCAGCTTTATTGCTAGATGACTGTCAGTGACAGAGTAATGCAGCAAAGTCACAGGGATATTGGTAAGTCTTTGGACCCAAGTCCCAAGTTTGAGTCTTTGGTACCAAGACTTGAGTCAAGTCTTGAATCTTTGGTACCAAGTCCCAGGCCTCGGATCCAAGTCTCAAGTCTTGAACAGAGGCTGGGAGGGGAAATGTGCCTACACATGCTCAGAAGCAGTGGGCCCAGCTCCTGCCCCCGCTGCCAACCTGTTCCTGCTGCTGCCTCCTACTCCCCCCCCTCCATGCTTACCTGTGCCTGTAAGACAGTGGAACCAATGACCTCGAGAGGTGGTGAGTGCTCCAGCAGTGGAGGCATTTAAGAGAAACTTAGATAACCACCTGGCAGATATCCTTTGAGTGGTATTCCTGCATTGAGCAGAGGGTTGGACTTGATGGCCTTTTAGGCCCCTTCCAACTTCACTATTCTATGATTCCTGCTGCCACTGCACACACAAAGAGTAGGTTCAGTTTCCCTTCCAGGAGCCAAGCCTGCCATTTCTGGGCATGCTCAGAAGTCTGAGCATGCCCAGGAGCAATGGGCCTGGCTCCTTGAAGGGAAACCAAGCAAAGCAAAGCAAAGCAAAGCAAAGCATGCTGCTTATATACCGCCCCATAGCGCTTCAAGCACTCTCTGGGCGGTTTACAATTTAATTATGCAGGCTACACATTGCCCCCATAGCGAGCTGGGTACTCATTTTACCGACCTCGGAAGGATAGAAGGCTGAGTCAACCTTGAGCCAGCTACCTGGGATTGAACCCCAGGTCATGAGCACAGTTTTAGCTGCAGTACAGCGGTTTAACCACTGCGCCACGAGGCTCCTTTTCACTTAATACAAGCCTGCTGCTAGCTTCTGAGGACAGCAGGAGACAGGAGTATGTTGGCGGTGGAAGGACGTGAGAAGCGACTCAGAAAAATGGTTTCCAGTCACAAATTGTGTGTGAGTCATTTGGGGAAAAAAATCAAATCAAGTTGCTAGTGCAGCTTAAGTGTGACTCGACAGTGAGTCTCAAGTCACAAGTCCCCATCCCTCCTAAGTCCCAGATGGAATTCATCAGAATAAACTCATGGTGTTGTTCAACTACCAATCCATCTTATTACAAGTACTTCCAGTAACCAGTACTGTCCACACAGAATGGCAGAGCCAGAAAGGACCTTAAAGAACATCTGGTTCCCTCTCCCCCCCCCCAAATGTAAAGCATTCTTCTGGTATTTTCCCACAGAAAGTTTGAGAAGCTGCAGCCCTACATATTTGAGTTACTTTGGTAGATCAAACAGGAATACCATCTTTATAAAGGCAGATACATACATTCATCAAATATAAAAACAATTCTTAAATATAATTTCTCTTTTTAACTCCTACTTCCTAGCCTTCTATGATATTTAGTATATGTACTACAGTAGTACGTGTGGACCTAAAAAACTGCAAACATCTCACTGTAAAATAGATTATAAAACTGGAAACAAATATTCTTCCAAGTATCCATCTAATTTCAGGAATGGGGATATTCCTGCAAGATGTTTTCCTTAACAGGTAGGTTTAGCTACAGAGCTAGTATGAATATATGTGTGTGTCCAAATGTCCCCTTTTCGTTTCAGATGGCCCCTTTCCTGGCTTTTAGAACAATTGCGACATGTGAGATAGAGACAATTCAGGTAATTAAAGGGGACTTTTCTAAATAAGTCTGAGCTATTGGCTTCCTTTGACTCAAGTATTGACTATGAAGCAGTTCTGATGAAGATCATGAGGACCTACTGTCTTGATTTCCAAAAATATCCTTTGAGTTAAATAGCCCTTGAGCAATAGGCTCTAGAAAACACTAGAGCATAAACACTTGATAGCATCTGTCTTCATACATTCAAAAAAAGATTTTGTCTATACTGTACAAAGTTCTGCAGGGATCACTTGGGTTTCCTTCCATAATTGCTATCTACAAACCAAAGGCTATGTATGTTAGTTCCCCTGCTGGAATGCAAGGTATTAAAAAGGGAGAGAGAGCTTCCTTTTATCCTGTCACATAGAATAAGGTAAGTACTGAAAGTGCCCCAGCTGATAGATTTAAAGTGCACAGCATGTAACAGATTACTATAACTCATTGTCATGGTGGTTGCTAGCTCCTAATTGGGAATGGATGTCTTTCTCAGCTTAATAAGTCATGTATGTGTTTGGTGGGGATGTTATGTACCTTTTAAGCAGCTAACCTACAAGATCGTGAATACTCCATCCTTGCAAAATGAATGCACTTGGGGATGTTCTACTCCAGCCTAGAAGTTGCAGTGACACAGTACTGAGCTAGATGAGATACTATATTGAACAACTAAATGTGAGTGGAAAGACATACGGTACTCCTATATAATTTTCACTGAACATTCTTTAAGAAGGCCATGCTGTTTATGAAATATAGTATTTTATTTAGATAACGTCCAATTTTTGTAAAGGGTAAAAAACGACAACAAAACCCAATAACCATAAACCTAAAACTTGTGTTACACGACTATCTCAGCATAAAGAGCAACAAGAGAGAAGACCCTTCAACAGCTGTAAGATTACATATAACCTAAATTCCACAAGTTTTACACACCCACTATATATTCAGAATGACCTCATACAGTGAGCTAGTGCTGAGAGTCTTGTAACATACATCAGTAGCTTGTCACATATTTAATGGAAAAGTGTAAACATCTTCCAGATTTTATTGGAAAACAAAATATGTGGTCTAAGGAAAAAAATAAGAATGAGAGTGTACGTGTGGTAGGAGAAATTCTGAACTATGTGAGTTTTCAAAGGCCACCCATCTCTGTTCTAGCTGTCAATGCCAGCTACAAAATGCAGTCTTTGAAACATAAAAGAACATCAGGGACAAGAACAAGGTGTACATAAGAGAGAACATTAACCTAATTTGGCACAGACAAGTCTGCTTCCTGCTGCTGTGGCAGTTATGATACTTGGAGACGTTTTTTTGGTAGTAGTGAAATGGGCTGTAACCACAATTTTCCTTGCCTGAGAACTAGTGACGAGAATCGTTGACAAGGTGGATGTATCACGTCTTAGTTTTCTTTCTGTCTGTCCAAAACTGATGATGACATAGCTTAGGCTATGTGAGGAAATAAATAGTGTACTCTGTCATTAAACATCTGTCACAGTAATAAAAAGGTCTGCTGACTTAGTTGTATGACATTTGACCAAGTTCGGGCATTTATAGAATATCACATTGTCCTTTCTTGAACTGTCTTCCATCTTTTGCAGTGATGGCAGATCAGCTAGCCTGTAATAAATCAAAAGACATACTTTATTTCACACCTCAGGATACAATTGAAACAGACAATATGTGATGGCAATGGGCCACAATTACTTGTGTCACATGGCTGGACTGTACCACATCATACTACAAAGACTGCATGTTTGAAAGCATCCCCTCACAAGCAAAATTCCTTAGAGAAAATTCTCTGGCTAGCAAATGCTAAGCTACATTCTCCTGCTGGGTAAGCTTCTTTTCTATTTTCATATATATAAGGAAACATGCAGTTTAAAATAGCAATTGCTACACTGTGTGATTGTCTTAATTAGCCTGAGTGCTAAGCGTTATAGTATTCACATTTCCAAGTTTTAATTAAATTTAGTTGAAGTATTTTGCTTGGACAATAAAATATATGTGAAGTTTATGTAACAGAGTGCCCAATTCCAGATAAATTGTGATAGGGGATGAAAAATTACTTATGCAAATCAGTTAATTACGCAAATGAATAATGCTCCCAAATCTTCAAATGGACTTGAGTGGTGGGCATTTGTCCAGCCAATCTTATTTAACAAGGGAGAGGAAAGAAAGCAAATGCTTGTAACAACTATAAAATGAAGATTCTTCTACATGCCATGATATATATAAGTAAAGAGAAAGAGAACATGGGTTTGCTTAATGAATCTCTACAACCAACCTCCATTTCCTTTCTTTCTAAGTGAGCTTCTGTTCCATTCTGGTCTAATACATGTACTGTTGATGCTGTTTTGATGTCCATGTTAGACTGAATGTTTGATTTTTCATTTTCCCATTTTGCAAAACCTTTATTCTTTCCTGGTTTCCCATGGAACTTGGATTTCATTTTGGGGAAGGTGTGAGACCCTGAGTCTCCCCAACCAGGTTCATGCCACAGTGGCTCTGTCTGCGTTGCTTGGCTGGTGGTCACCCGTTGTAGATGAACTGAAATCTTCTGAGAAGAACCAGTTACAAGCATGATCGGTCTGCTAGCTAGATCTTGATTTTGTGGAGCTACATTGGGAAAATTAAATACATCATCTTGTACTGCAAAGGAAAGAAAATAACAACAAATTAAATCTCTAGTGACACCGGAGCCCTGAACAGACAGAACCCCAGATGCTGTTTCAAAGGTTTAAATTCCTGTTAACTTTTTTTTATGCTGTACTTGTAATTTACAAAAATTCAGTACTCTAGATCAGTAGTTTCCAGCCTTGGGTTTCCAGACGATCTTGGATCACAACACCCGGAATCCTGGCCAGCTAGTGAAGGCTTCTGGGAGTTTTAGTCCCAGAACATCTGGGCATGCAAGGTTGGGAATCACTGCTCTGGATCATTAAATAAAACCTTTCTGGATGACCAATGAACTGAACTGAAGTGATATCAAGGCCTATTAAAATCAGTAGTGTTAAATATTACTACTGAACTGTAATGACACCCTAGTAATTTCTATTTCAGCATTGGTTTTAATGGGATTTAATAATATTTCAGCTCAATGTAATTTATTGGACTAAACAATTTATTTTATTGCACTAACTAAGCTTCTAAAGGTGACATGCTTGTACAATGTTAAACAACAATGAAGGCTAGTATACATCTGAAGCTTAACTAATCACCGAAATCAGCCATGAAATCCTCTGAAAATTCTGATCCTGGATTCTAAATCAGAGGCCTGAATCCTATTTAACTAATCAGTTGTCAGTTCTTCATCTTGCAGGTTCTCCTTTACATGCCTGGGCTTCCATTGATGGCCTGATCAAGTGATTAATGCCTGATAGGAGCCTATGGGATGGGGGAAAACTGCTGCTCAATTGCTCTTACACAATTGCCTCAGTTCCTCCACCCTAGTTACAACCCTGTCTGGATTCACATCTAGAAAACCTCATCTCTCCTTGTAGAGGTCCTTCTGGACAGTAGTGGCAATTTTCTGCCACTCTGGCTGCCCTGCTTTGTAAATTTTTTGGGGGACGGGCTAAAAATAGAGCACTAGGATGGCCAGAGGTAAAACAAGGTAGGGCTTCTGGGCTTGTCACATACCGTATTTTTCGCACCATAAGACACACTTTCCCCCCACAAAACGGGGGGGTGGGTGGAAAGTCTGTGCATGTTATGGAGCGAAGAAAACAGATTATATTTTCCTGTTTTCTTCTCCTAAAAAATTGGTGTGTCTTATGGAAAGGTGTGTCTTATGGAGCGAAAAATACGGTAATCTATGCTTTCCCTATTAAATACCTTAAAATCTGAACAGGCTGTTCCAATCATGAAGATACAGACTGATTTTTAGAGTAAAATAAAAACACAGGGAGAACTGCTACACTCTTCTGCTTGCCTTCAGCTTACTTCTCTTGTTACCAGTTGGATTCAACATGCAGTAGCTCCATCTGTTAGAGGAAAGAGCCTATGATAAGTAGCTGCTGCTACTGGAAGCATTCAGCTGTAAATTCTTAAAATTAGTCCACAGCGTTTGCTTGACCTGGACAGATTCAAATGGGTTTGTCATCACTCCGTGTACTCAGAGCCCATTCTGTCCCTCATTCACAATACCCATCATTTCTTGCTTTATTTAAGTCTTAGAAAATGGCTTTCAAAACCTCCCCCAACCAACAGCCAAGTTAGCTGTGAGAGGCTGGCATTTGTAGACCCAAAAAGCAAGATCTCCAAGCTCTGGTTTAAACCACTGGCACAGGGGGAAAGGGGAATGGTAGTAATGGAAACCCCAAAGAAATATAATGATGGCATTAGTTGCAGTGCACATCAGAATTTGAAATGCTGTTAGTGAGCAACTTCACATGTTTTGTATAGGCTGAACTATATACCACACTGGGTTTTTTTTGGGCGGAGAGAGAGAGTTAAAACCATTTTCAATCTGGGCAGGCCTTTTGTTGATTCAGCTGTAGGCTGTAACCATACAGATCACTCAGATTGTATGGTTACTTTTTTACTTCAGTGCCAGCAGTACCAGATAAGGCAATAACAGTGAAGTTGAGAAATTACCTTAGGAACTAAATACTGTGGCATTACCACTTTGACGTGGAGCCCCACTACTAAGTACATGGAAGTTGGGCAGAGGTTTGGGGGCCAGTCATGAAAATGGGGCCATATTCAATCAAAACCAGGACAGGCCTTCCTAGGAATTATTGTAGGCTAATGATATCATTGGATGCATCAGGCGCTCACTATTCTGTGAAATAACAATTTCTTAAAGAACAGGGGAAGTTTCTTTTGCATTAATGCCTCCCAAATACCTGAGCCAGCATTGCCTTTACCTCTGCTAGCTACGCCATCTGGGGTATTTTGGTAGCTTTGGTCCTGAACAGTAATATTTCTCCTTTTGGGTTATTTGCATTCTGGATGTTTTGACTGCGCAATAAAAGAAAGATTTTTTTCAGTGAATCACCAATGAGGGCATATGGTCTTCGCTTACCAGCTGGCAATGATGGACTATTGGGCAAAGAACCGTGGTTGCTGCTCAGTGATGTTCCTCTGGCAAACTTTCTGCAGGCCAGAACTAGCAGATCTCTGCACTGTTTATGGCAGTTGGCACCACAATCTGCAATAAGTTGTGAGACCAAAAATTAGTTAGTTCTGGAAAACATTACCTCCACTAGAAAGTCAACAGAGGTAATACCTCAAACCATAAAAAGTGTTTGGTATGCATCAGAACATGGTATTAGATAACTGAAAAGATGTGAATGTTATCTGAGCATGAAATGCTGCCCTTGAAGAGATTCCAAGATTGTATCTTTGTGAAACGGTATGATTTCTTGCTCTGTACCACTTTTGCAGTAGTTTTATCCTAAGGGTTGAATTACAGATTAAGATGTTTCTACTTAGGCTCTTCTTGCAGTCACTCAGATCTCTCAGTGTTACATGCCTGTGTCATCAGACATAGAAATGAATCCACACTATCTCGCAACTGACCATGATCAAACAAAAGCAAGGATGTTGGCTAAATTAAGACTGATTCATGCAAACTTCTGTTAGAATAAATAGTCTTCTAAGAAGGATCTACTTCTAATGATGCATTAACATTATTATCTATTACTACATAATTGGAAGTACAACTATTTGGCAAGACAAAGGTCCCTCTCAGATGATCACACATCTTTCTAATTTGCAAAGACACAGGTGAGAAAGCTGTGGTCTTCCAAATCCAACTGGATTGGAGTTCCCAGGATTCCTGCTACAGGCCATGCTGGCTCTTGGGAGTTGCAGTCCAACAATATTGGGGGAAACATACTTTGCACAACCATGTGTTAGAGTTAATTGATTTTCAGTGTACTAATGTCAGCAAAACATAAAGCATTGCAAGAAGATGATAACTAGTGCACAATCCATCCAAAATAAGTTGTTGTCAAGGGAATTTTATTTTAGCTGAATCTCATGCTAAGTGCTAACAAATGGGAGCTGTAAAGAAATGTTTACACTGGAACCTCACCTCTGCTCCCCCATGAAGTGTTCTGTCTATGGCTCTAGCCATGCCTTGCTCCAGGGTAAGTAATGATCAGGGTTAAAAACAGGCACTCTGGTAAAAATAACTTACATTGTTTTAATTAGATCTAAGCATTAAAAATAAAGTAGAAGATTTAGAGTGCAATTATAGAGTGCACCCTTATTATTATGATTACTGGTTATCATATTATACTATCATGACAATTCAGGTGTAGTGTAGTGACCCTTTCTAGGGTTTTCTAGGTGTTGATTACTCTGTAATAGTTCACCATTCCCTTCTCCTGGGGTTACTTTGGGACTGTGCAGCTTGTCCAAGCTTGCACAGGCTGGCACTGAGATGCATAGTGGAGAATTGAACACCTTACTTCGCCTCTGCAGCTAATTACCGAACTTACTGAGCTATCCAGCCAGCTATGAAAACGTATCTTGAAACAAACTCACACAACACAGTTGGGTTTTGCCTATATCATGGGATGGGGAGCCTACGATACTTCAGACGTCTCAACTACAGTTTTCACAGCTTCTAAGTACTGGCCATGCTGAAGTCTAAGAATGTCTGAACAGTTCCCACCCTTATTCTAGGTAAAAATTGAATTGCAATTCATCAGAATAGACTGTTTAAACATTTTTTCTGAAATTCAGTAGCAACTTACAACTAGAGCAGATTCCTTGAATCAGGAAAGGATTTGGTGAGTCAACTCCATTGATTCAAATGGCCTATTCTTAATTTTTTTATTTATTCATACGTTTTATACCCCCCCCCCAGACAGTGTCTACTCGGGGCGGCTTACAAAATCATAAAATCATTAAATAACAATAAAAACATCAAAAATAACATTCATAATCATAAAACATTTGAACAATAATATAGCATGATCAAGATGGGGAATCCAAGAACAGAAAGCTAGAATTCAGGAACTGACATGAGGGAAAGCCTGCCCGAAAAGCCAAGTTTTTAAATGGCTCTTAAAAACACCCAGCGAGGTGTTTGAACAATATTTGAACATATTGTTCAAATGTTTTATGATTATGAATGCTGTTTATTTTTGATTGTGATGTTTTTATTGTTATTTAATAATTTTATTATTTTGTAAGCCACCCCGAGTAGACGCTGTCTAGGGAGGCGGGGTATAAATCGAATGAATGAATAAACAAAATACACCCAGCGAGGTGTATTCTTGTGGCTTACTTCTGGATTTCAATTACTATACAGTATTAGGTTCCTAGCAATTAGAAAATTAATTAAGTTAGTAAAATGGAGATTAGTATTCATGCATGATTTACAGTACCTTTGCATTTGTAGCCTTGCTTGATTATACCCCAGAGCTGTAATTAAAGACAAAAGGAATAAAAAAAGAAAGCAGGAAGGAAAAACAACCTCAGTTATGAAGGTAGGAACAATGGCTACAAAAGGATAAACAGGAAATGACTGCTCTCAACACCCTTCCTGTGAGAAACAGCTATTCATTCAGCTGTGTGGCTCAGGAGGACTTTTTTTCCCTCATCTTTTCCATGAGCTGCAAATGAGGCAACACAGGAGAAGTGATTCAACAGATTATTATTATTATTATTTTAAACAGTTTGGAATGAATCAGCATAAGCCCTTTTGGGTTGCATATTACAATCTATTTCTGCCTTTCTTATACTGTACACCTGTTTCCCATCTCCTGGATACAACATGACTTTTTTGCATTATTTGGACAACACTGATTTTTTTCTTTAAAAAACCAATTAGGCTACAATCCTAAATAATATGTTTCTAAGAATAAATGTTCACTTGCCAGTAAATTCAAAAGGACCAAGAGCCAAATTTTAAGTTACAGATAACACACTCAAGAAGAAGGAATTACTTAATTCCCAGCAGAAACCACCACTACCACACTTACTTTGAATAGTCTACTTTGCATTGTGACTGGTCTTCAGCAGTCATTTACAAGCCTAACTTCTCGGACACAGAAGTGCCCTAAGTCACAGCTCTGGGATGCTAATATTTCAGCTCTCATTATGGGAACACTAAAATATTGTTTGCCCTTCATCTTCAGCAGATTCATATAAGATGCCATTTGCACAATATATGTCCATTTTGAAGTTCCTTTTCATAAAAATCTACCCAAGACTGGTGTGGGGTGTTTGTTTTACATTTACATGAGTTTTCATAATAGGTATAAAAACTGAATTAATAGACATATATGCTTCAGCCTATTTACACATCAAAATTACACTGACAGATACTTACAAATCCAGCACAGTGCTCGCAGAAAGTTGGTTTAAGATATGTCATCTCCTGGAAGTTATGTATGAAGCCTGGTCCCATTTTGCACTGCAGCTGTGATTTGGCCCTCAGAAAATAAGCCATCATTTCTCCTTTGCTGATAAGTCCATCCCTGTTTTTTAAAAATGGAATGGGTATGAGGGGAAATGGGTATGTTATTTTTAAGCTGCAGAGCAGGCTTGCACAACAGAGTCAGGTCAGAGGCACTGAACAATCCTGGAATCTCTGTGCCTGGTATGTAGAGTATGTAGAGATTCTGGGAATTGTAGTCTAATGTGTCTAATGGGCACCATGTTGGGGGAAATCTGCCAGAGTGAAACTAGAGCGTCTTTAATCGCGCTGGCTATGTGACCACGGAAGATTGTCTTCAGACAAACGCTAGCTCTATGGGTTGGAAATGGAGATGAGCACCGCCCCCTAGAGTCGGACATGACTGGGCAAATTGTCAAGGGGAACCTTTACCTTTAATGGGGTTTCCACAGGTTTCTGGGAACCCCATTCCCCAGCTGTCCTGCATGCTTAAGATCAGCTTCTCCCCTGACAGCTGACCTACACATGCAGCCTCAAATAATGGTGATGATGTGGAATGACTTTTTCACCTCTTCATTAGAGCCAAATAATTTGTATGAAAACCATGGAGCATTTTTTGGCATAAGCAAACTTCATGTGCCACTAGAAGATGACCTAACCTTTTCCATTATGGACTAACTTACTTGTCCACGCAAGTATTTAAAAATCTTTTGTAAATAAGTTGAAAGCATAACATTTTGTTTTTGAATATTTAACATTGAGTTCAGCTACACATTGCACAATTGTTCCCAGGATTTTTCCATTTTAGAGCAGTCTTGACTTTCTTAATTCCATATGAAAACTTCCTGGGTTACAAAAAGCTAGCATGTCAGTGAGAAGGGTCTTGTTCCCAATAAGCTGATTTCCCATATGCATGATTATTTGTACATGACAAAGGTTTCAAACATGTAATCCCACACTAGCATTTTAAATCCAGAGTTTAGAAATCTTACCTTTTAGCATACAATTCCCAGAATCTCCCAGCCAATTCTGTTTGAAAAGTTTGAACCATGGATCCCTCATAACCTCTGACTTGCTGTTGTGCAAACCAGAGGCTGTCCCCGTTATTTTCCAAAGGGCATATTCTTGTACAAGGTGGTACTGGATGTGTCCTTATGGACACCCCAGAAAAGCATTGGACATTGTATGGACAAAACAGGGTAATAGGATACTGTTCATACAATATACCTTTTTATAGTATATTGCAAAAAAAATAATAATAATAATAATCCACGAAAATTCTTACAATTTATGTAAGAATTTGATCTTCCCTGAAAAATGCTGATTCTTCTATCAGAAGCAGGTACCAGTTTTTTAAAGCCGGTCAGTGAAATGAGTATGTGTATGAGATCTGTCTTCCTTCAGCTACTGTCCTCACATCCTCTAAGCAATGAGTGGTCAGTCTCATATGACTGATGGATGGTGCAGAGGGGTTTTTTTGAGACTCATCAGTACAAATATTAAAAACTTGTCTGAAAACTGGCATACTGTGTACTTCTTTGTATCACTCATCTTTTACCAGTATTTTGGAGATGCTAGCTATTTATAATAAAATCCCTACAATCCTTTCATCATTTTTGTCCCTCTATGGTCCTTAAAAAATTGGGGGAATTGAGTTTCACTCCTGATTTGATCATCACATCATATTAAGTGATCTAAGAAAATAACTCTCTCTCAGTAAGACAATATAAAATGGAAATATATATGTGAAGATTCTCAGTCATCCAGGTGAGGTTATCCAGAAGATGAGTCATGACAACTGGATTTCTTGTTAGGTTGACATGTTTCACTACTCATCCAAGCAGCTTCTTCGGTGTGAAGAACCTACTGTACTTGGATGAGCAGCGAAACGTGTCAACCTAACAAGAAATAATTCCAGTTGCCATGACTCAACTGTAGGGAATTAGAAGTCTAGTTGCCATGACTCAACTGTAAGGAATTCTCTTTAGGGAGAAGTGACATCAATGTCCAACATAAAATGGGAATATTAATCATCCTTTTCATTTGGTGTTAGAATCAGACTAGGAAAAGCCAACACCCATAGTGACCACTAGGACTACAAGGCAAATTAAAACAAAAGAAAATTAAACAATTAAAACAAAATTAAACAAATTGAAACAAAAAATAATTTATGTTTGTATTTCTGTATTAATAAATCAAGCTGCAATCCTTATGTCAAAGTAAACCCCACTGAAGATAGTAAACATGATGGGCAATACACTGTAAAACAATAAGAGAAAAATTACTCACTGATCTTTGTCTAATACACAGAATGAGTCCAGAAAAGGAAAATTAGCTGCTATGCTTTCAAAGTCTTCCTGAGATATATAACCATCATGATCATGATCATAGTTCCGAAAAACCGACTGGAAAAATGCAAGGAAATAAAGTAATGAGGGAGCAGAGAGTAAAACCAATCTGAGAATAATGGAACAGAACACTTCTAAAACAAATGACAAGTAACATACACATAGACAACTTATGCTGCACATGTTTAAGTAGTTATACCCAATATATAAAACATGGCTATAAACCATGTGAAAGAACCATAAAGAAAGTTCTGCACCATAAAACTAGGTGCAGGTGTACTTTAAGGCAAAAGGCACTTTCTTACAATTTAGCATTATGTAAATCATTAATTAATATCTGGCCTGTGCTTTAACTAAAACCACTTTTTCGCTGATGCATACACATGCTAATGCTCTGAAATTGTAATATTGAATGATATAGGTATATATTTACAGTATTTGGATAGGGGTGAAAGAGAAACATATTTGCTCAGAAACAGTTAAGCAAATTTTGTTCTATACTAATTATATTTTTCAAAATTTTGAAAAGTCTTTAATTCTCTAGTCTCTAATACCTACTGGCTGACTGAGGATTTTTAATTTGAGGTGGGTGAGTTAATAACATGGGCTCCTCTGTTCAAACCAGCTGTGTTTAACCTGGTAGAATAGACCTCAACTGATCAGTGCAGACAAATTTGTCACTAGAAATTAGTTGGCAGTATTTGGAAGAAAGGATGATGTGTCTATGTGTGTATAGTTCCTCCCCGATAAATGGAGACCTCAGAGTAGGGTAGAGGCAATAAAACAACTCAAATTAATGCTGAAATATTTTTACATACTTCAACAGAATAATTCAACTAAATAGAGGACAGAGTTGAATTAAGGTGATTGAGCTTCTCAAAATGTATGGCACCAGTCAGGTTTCCAAGGGGAAGTTACACTCTTTGCTCTCACCTCTACAGTGTGATCTGCACATTATTTCCTACATGGGCTTCAGTTTGTCAAGTACACACATAATGAGAAGGTAGGCCATGTCTATAGACTGAAGACAAACAGTGCTGCCATTTTGGTCAGAGCCAGGCCTACTTCCTGTTGGGAAACTCCATGTCTCCTGATTTTAATTCTGTTAATAAAAGGTGGAATAGGAATAAAATAAACTTAATGCATAATATGTTGTTATGTGCCTTCAAAGTTGAAACCAACTTATGGTAACCCTAACAAGGCTTCCAAGATAAGTAAGGTATTTAAGGAGTGGTTTTATTACAGCCTGGTGAGCTTCCATGGCACAAGGATTTGAACCGAGGCCATCTATCACTCTATCCCCTACACCAAACTGAATATCCAAATACAGAATATACTCATTATTATATCCATGGAGGGTATTGTTTCTTCTGAGCCATCCGTAAGAACTTCCATGTCTCTTAACTTGATTGGCAGTTAGAAATGACACTGTTATTCCAGGTATTGTACCCTGACACTTATTTTGTAAAATTCTCTTGTAAAATCATATCATGCATCTTACAAAGCAATCCTATCCATATTCATTGAAAATTAGGCCATCCAAGGTAAGAGCACATAGAATTGCACCCTTAATCTGTCATTTATATGCCTATTTGGCACTCGCAAGATAAAAAACATAAGTAAGAAATTGTACCATTCTTCAACATACTTACATCAACGAGCTTTTGGATGTGTTTGTTGATTATGCTTGGATCAGGCTTTGGTATTACTGCAGATGCCCACTCAAGTGGTACCACCAGCTTGTTAGGTGTTGTTGGGGAGGTAGGCTATTAAGAAATAAAAAAGAAAAACATTTTTAGTTTTTCTTGAGAAAGTTCCTAACCAGAATTTTCTTGCAAGTAACAGTGAAAAGGCGCTGTACAGTTATTCTATCTTTCTTCCTGAACACATTTTCTTGGATAAGAAAAAAAGAGGAAAGAAAGAAAAGGAAAAAATGGTCTACAAAATGAAGGTGATGACATCGGGACAAAAAAAGGAAAAAATTGAGAAAATTATTTTTTGGACTATAACACTTAAGACACCTGGGTCAGTTGTAGGCATCCGTCAGTCTCGAGAGATTATTGTAACGTGCTCTGAATAGAGGTCTTGGAACAGCATCTAGTGTGGCTGAGAAGGCCAATTCGAGAGTGACAATCCCTTCCACACTGAAGACAAATACAATCTGCCCCCTGTCCAGCTCCCTGATTTTGCTGGTTTCAGGACTGCCTCTTTGCATCAGCCTGCTGGACAAGGGTCTCTTCAAATTGGGAGAGGCCATGCTGCCCCGCCTGCCTCTAGGCTGAACGCTCAGATATCAAGGTTTCTCATCTGTTGAGGTCCATTCCTAAGGCCTTCAGATCCCGCTTGCAGATATCCTTGTATCGCAGCTGTGGTCTCCCTCTGAGGGGCTTTCCCTGCAGTAATTCTCCATACAGGAGATCTTTTGGAATTCGACTATCAGCCATTCTCACGACATGCCCAAGCGAACACAGACGTCGCTGTTTCAGTAATGTATACATGCAAAAAATTCGGGCCTGTTGTAGGACTACTCTGTTTGGAACTTTGTCCTGCTAGGCAATACCAAAAATGCATCAAACACAACGCATATCAAATGTGTTCAGCTTCCTCTCTTGCCTTGCAGAAATGGTCCTGGACTCGCTGCAGTACAAGAATGTACTCAAGACACAGGCTCTATAGACTGTATGAGAAGCAGGACTGTCCTCTCCAGAGCACAAAGCCTGGGTAAAATAATATGGAGGATAGACTGTTACCCTAGCAGAAAATACTCCATCTCCATGTCACTGAAATAGTCCAATGGAAAGGCAAGAGCCAATACAACTGGTTCCAGCAACATCACAGGAGTTGTCAGAGCGTGACTGTACACAGTCACGAACTGCCTCTGGGACTCCTGCTCTGGATTTTGCCTTGAGGTTAACTCCTGAAGCCTTTTCCATTGGTGGATATAGCCACAAGGCAGTGGAGGTTTGAAATTGGAGTTTTCCTTCTCCTGGAAATTACTATGTATCCTAGCAGTTTATCTGTACCACAGAATGAGAGGGAGAGAGGGAGGGAGGTGGAGGGGGTGTGTCCAGGGGAAGGGAGGGAGGAGCGAAGGAGTGAGGAAGGGAGGAAGGAAGGAAAGAGAAAGAAAGGACAGATGGACTGACTGACTGACTGGGTCAGTATGGCTGCTGATCATGCTCACAGCTGAGATATACTGAAGGCTATATTGCATGCAAGTAGCTTTCCCCATCTCTGGTCCATCACAAACCACAGAAAAGAAGGCGTTCTGCGGCCACAATAAAATTGTGGCCTAGACATGCCCTGCAAACTAAGTGCAATACCTGTCTTCCTGGAGTTTTCTGTGCTCATTGTCAAAACTGCATTTGAATTTTTGCCCAATACACACAGGTCATTTCCCAGTACAAAAATATGATAGTCATGACAGAGTTGGCAAAGTGCATGGGAACCAGAGGGAAACTCATGGGGATAACTGCATTGCTGCCTGCTGGTGTTTTTAAAAAGTCTCATGAGAAGTATGGTCTCGTACAGCGGAAGGACATTGAAAAGCTTAAAATACAAAACCAAAAAAGGAATAAAAAATAGAAGAGACTGATGTGTAAAATCATCCTAGCTGTTTTTCCACAACAAAGGCTGGCTGCAGGTCGAATGCACCCCCTGACAAGGGTATCTATAGTTTGACTTCTTGTAGGCAGGTGGCAGAGTAACTTCCATGCTGGGGAGCCAACTGCTAAAAGACTCTACCTGTCCTCCTCCAATCTCAATCCTCCACAGTTTGGCAGCTCTTCTTTTTTCTTCTTCTTTTAATTCTTGCTGCTCCCATGAATGATAATAGCACAGCAAGATTTCTTTGCAGCCTTAGCCAGCCATTTTCCATCCTACTTCTATGATCTTGATGGAGGGTAGCATGGATTTAGGAGCAGGGAAACAGTGTTTTGTGAAGTTGCCTTTATGACTGTGCTGTGACAAAAGAAAATTTAGTAAGTATTCTCTCTGTCTGGAGAGAACACTTGGAATGGAGTGTGTTGAAATGTGCTGTGCGCTGGTGTGCTGGTTTTACAGTTATGAAGCAGCAAAAACAATCGCACCACAGCTACTTCTACCAAATGATTATTAGATTCAGAAGTTGCCCAGGATAAATGTATTATCCCGGCATGCTGATTAAGCAAACTGTTGTGATTCTAGCAAAGCTTAGGGAAGGTATTTTTATGTTACATAACTTCCCCAATTTCCCAGTCAGCACTATAGCTGTAGTACCAAGTAATTTTTTCCCAAGCTCTGGATTCCTCACTTGAAAAACAATTTTTTTGGGGTGGAGGGGGACTCCTTGTGTGTGTCAATTGTCAAGACTACTTCTTCCAAAGATTTTCCAGTCCCTGGAAAACAAGGGACAATTTCCAGATAAGAACACACCACTTGATGGTTCACAGCACACCAAGGTCTTGGCCACCATACTTTTTGCAAGTGAAGTGAATCCTACCATACACTGGGCAAAAATGGAATGGTTGCATCAGCTGCAAAACCACAGATATTCCCCTGTTCCATCTTCTCCAAGAACATCTGTTTTGAACAACAGGAAAAGTAGTGCTGAGGGTTGGAGAGAGAGGAGTCAGGGAAGGCTGCCTTGCATCTCTCCATCCAGGAGAGCATTCTGAGCAGAACTCCAAAAAGTGAATTACCCTCCCAAAAACAAGGAACCTGGATCCACCTCAATACATATATTTGACATCTAGCATTTATTTATTTAATGTGCTTGTGTATCACCTGATTAGTGCAAGGTATACAACCAATAAGAAATCCAAACAATATAATAGCAAATTGTGGGTTTTTTAATGGATGGTTGTACACTTACTGCTTTGAATGAATTTTTGGTGTTGCTTTTGTTTACTATCTGTTAATGTGATATTTGTTTGATCCTTTTAAGTACTGTATTTGTATACTTTCTGTTTTTACTTTTAAATATTGTCTTTTAATTATGTATGTCGCCTTGGGTTCTTCTTAAGGAGAATGGTGGGGTAAATAGATTTTAAATAAAAAAAAAATAAACAAAACAAAGAAAGATGGTCAAAATCTAATCCAATAAACTAGACAAAGAACCTAAAATCCAAACCTAAACTATGGTGGGTGGGGCAAGCAGCATAAATGCGTCAAGGCTCAAGATTTTTGTGATTGTGATTTTTGTTTGCAATGACATCCTTTAGCAGAGCTTGGAAAAGTTACACTTTAAACTAAAATTCCCAATAATTCCCCAGCAGAATTCTTAATTTAAAAAGTAATTTTCTAGTAACATAATTCCCACATGTCAGAAATGGTGGGAGAAGGGGGATCAAAGGAAGGTATTCAGTGTGCAACAACATTCTAAAGGGTTGTTTACATTTACATTTGCCTCACAATAAGCTCCATCCCAAATGGAATTGATGTAGAAATCATGTGGTAGTCACATGGTGTTTGGGGACGGTGTGTGCATGTTCTTTTTCTAATCTGCTTTTAAGTTATGCTGTGCCCCAGTTGAGGGGGCTACACTGGCTTTCAGAATCATTGCATTTGAAGCTTTTTCCTGTGCCTGCCCACATTCTGGCCACTCAACCCTGCTGCTGTGGTACAATGAAGAACAGGAAGGGTCTGCTAGCAAAGCTGCATGTCCATTCAGAAAGTTTAGCTGCTTCTGTCCCTTTAAAAATACTCCAGCTATTACCATTTATACCCACAGAATACAGTGGAACCTCTACTTAAGAACTTAATCCGTTTTGGAATGGTGTTCTTAAGTTGAAACCTTCTTAAGTTGAAGCAAAATTTCCCATAGGAATGGACTGAAAACCAATTAATCCGTTCTGGCTGGGTTTTTTTGTTATGTAGAGGTGCGTTTGTACATTGAAGCATTAGTTCCCATAGGAACTAATGCAAAGCTGGTTAATATGTACTCTACCACTAGGGGGAGAATTTTTTTTAACCTAAGATGACCTTAAAAAAAGAGCAGGAAAGGTTTTCTTTCCTGTTCTTATCTTGGATTTCTGTTCTCAAGTAGAAGCAAAATGTAGCAAATGGAGCTGTTCTTAAGTTGGATTGTTCTTAAGTAGAGACGTTCTTAAGTAGAGACCCCACTGTACTCCACAGAAATGAAGGATGCCTGGTTCTGTGTAGGGCAGAAACAGTGATTCAAGCATGGATCCTCCTGAATCCATATGATTTTAACATAGAAATTTCCCCCAGACATTATGAGCCCCATTTGTACCAACAGAAATAAAAGGTCCCTGGCTTTGTAGTGGTGCAAAAATAGTGATCCAAGCATGGATCCACATGATTTTAATATGAGATCATCTCCAAGCCCCTGTCCAATCTGTGGTTAGAGATGGTGCCTATGATTGAGATTGTTTGTGGATCCATGAGGATTTGTGCCTCTGATCTAATTCCCCCCCCCCCAAGACAGCTCTTAGCTCCTCCAACTTTGCACCAGACTGGCCGTGTCCTCCCCTTCTTCTCAGGCTCTCTACGCCCATCTGTCCATCCCTCCTCCCCCAACCCGCTGACTATGGCGCTTGTAGTTTCAGCCACCTCTCCCACTGCTTCTGCTGATTACTCAAAGGGGCAATTTGCAGTTACAGAAAAGTCTGGATATGCGGAAATGATTGGAATAAATCAAGGTTTCAGGTGTGTACTAGAATAAACAACCCTCTGATGGAAGAGTATTTTATGTCGCTTTCCAACCAGAAAGCAAAATTTCCGGGCTAAGTAATCCATGCTTCTGTTTACATCCTGGAGACACCTTTAAAGTATTTGTTAAAAGCAGAATGCAATACAACAGCATTTCTTATTATCAGCGAGATCAAGTCCTCAGATACGTGAAACAAGTTTCTGCCAATGCTTCTAGTTGGTCCTCATTCTGGGGAAATAGAACACTAGTTATTTCCTTTAAATTTATACTCCTGGCAGGGCAAAGCAAAATGTAAAACTAAAAATGGGGAGCATAAAGAAGCCTGAGGCAGCTTTTGATTTTAAAAAAATAGTTGGTGGAAACAATAACTGTTGAAGTAAAGTGCATTTCCTCGTATTCACCTATCCTCTGCTTTTGGAGCAGAATGTCAATGATTATTTATTGACTACCAGGCACCTGGAGAATTGATGGCATTGTTAAAGGTCACTGGCCTGTTACTGTACTGATTTTCCACTGAAGCAGGGATTGGAGAAAGAAGGAGGCAGCCAAGCCACATTGTTAAAAGAGATGGGATGTTGATTTTTTTTTTTTAAAAGCATGCCTTAAAAGCAATAGCTATAATTTGATTTTTAAAACATTCAGCTAGCAAGTATTTAAAACTTTGGAAGCAGAGAGCACTTTGTTTTTCAATTGCATTATCATCTGACTCAGTTTCAGAGTTTCCTTTCTTTAAATCCCCCTTTGACCAAAGCTCCTTATTTAAAGCTCTTCTAAGTATAGAGACCTCTGAAAGGAACCCCTTGTAAGGTATGCTAAATCCAAACTGTATGTGAATAGCGGTAGTAGGGCTCACCCATGACATGTTGCTGCCTGAGGCAGAGCCATAAAGCACAATTCCCACCCACTCAAGCCAGGATACTCAGCACCCAAAGCTGGCAATGTTCTTTTGCCTCAAGAGAGAGAGACTTAAAAAAAAACAACACAACACAACCTCACCCTCTCCCTGATGGTTAAAATACTAGAGGTGGGTAGATTTCTGTTTTTGCACTGCGACTCCCAGGATATTCCTACTAGCTATATAGTATGGAAAATTCTCTAAGTTTTTGTCTAAAAACCAGAGATCTGCGTACCTCTTAAGAATATAGTAGCCAAAGTCTTACTGTGGCTTTATGCTAGTGTAAATGTAATGGTGCAAATTATGGCAGTGAACTGCCAGTAAGGAATAAAGATCCGGGTGCTATCTAGGAACACTTCATCTCAAAAGACCCTTAATGTTTCAAAAGAATTTTAAATATGTTGCTGTAGCAGCTACTTCCAGCAGCAGATATTGGGTATCAAAAAGGGACTATTGTTGGGTCCTGCTTGAGAAACTAGAAAAGATGCTTATCATCATGGACTGACCTGAGCTGCTCTCTAGAATTTGCCTCTTTTTGGCTACCAACATCTTTGGAAGTCGCTGTGAATCTCTAGCTCATACCCTCAAGATCACCAGATTGCACTTGCTGACAGACTTCTGTGGCCAATCCTTGTACACTAGTAAATCTGGGTATACATCATTCAGGTGACATCCAGCATGTTATTTTCATTTGCAACACTAGTTCCATTTGCATCATTTTGCTGGCAGGGTTCCTGGGCCTTCAATACCAGGAAACAAGGAGCAAACTCAACAAGAGAAGAGTTCTTTAAAATTCTTTCATTTCCAGACCATTCAGAAAACTTAAAACACACACTCTGGTATGGGGGAAAAGGGGAACTACTGGCAGCTGTAGATGACAATGGACAAACTAGGGATGTGCACCCAGTCCGTGTCCACATGTGCCTTTTCCGACAGCTTTTCCCAGCTGCAGATGGCATTTGTGTCTCTTGGATCTATGGGGAAAATTCCACTTCTGCGAATGGGGAAATGCAAATAGCTAGAACCGGGGCTGAAGGCTACCCAGTGTCATAAGAATTATTTAGGGCAAAATTATCTGCCTACCTCCATCACAGAGAATACATGAAAAAGACAGACAGTCAATAGTTAATAGAAACGCCTGCAGTGATAGCACCACACGAACAAGGGAAACCAAAGCTGCAGGTGAGGAGGCAAGGCAGAGCCCAGGATCCTAAGGGAATGTGAATGTGAATCAGCCCAGGATTCCTCTCCAGTCCATACTCTCTCTCTCTCTCTCTCTCTCGATGTGAATCAGCCCAGGATTCCTCTCCAATCCATACTCTCACTCACACTCACACACACACAAACACACAGCTGGTGCTTCTAGTTCTTTGAGAATTGAATGCATTTTCATCATTTCAGGCAGTATGACAGCTTCAGATGATGCTGTTTAATAGGTGAATAGACAACCAGATGCTGGCTCACCCAACTTTCTAGTTTTAAGGTAGGGGAGAAGAAGCAAAAGGGTATTCATGGGGTGTCCATTCCCCTCAACCTTTGTTCTAAATCATCCCCCCCAGCAAGACTTGGTACTTGCACTAGAGTGCTAGAGCAGCAGGACACCAAAAGAAAAAACCAAGCAAGGAGGAAACGGGCAGCCAACCCTTTTTTGAAGCATGTTAGGGTAGCTGTATAGTAAATGCCTCCTGCAAATCAGTATGGTTGCAATAGAGCCACCTTAACAAGACACTAACAAGTTCAGGTTGGTGATTTTCTGTGTGATCTCCTGCGTGATCTACTAAAATGAATTCACCTGGGGAAATCTGACTTCCTGGTTGTGACTTCACAGAGGATAATTTTGTATGTTTCCTGTTGTGTAGTCACATCTTTAATATGCTCTGGAATCTACTATGGATTTCTCAAGCGATTAAAAGGAACAAGTTTATTTCAAATATATGAGTGCTCTCATATATTTGGACAGGCAAGACACACATTTCTTGAATTAAAAAAAGAAAGAAAGAAAAGCAAAACTCCCCAAAAGTGACATACTGATTTCGAACTCCTTGGTTCCAATACCAGCGAGAGCTTGTAGATATCATCTTCTGTTTGGTAGAGATCCAAGGAAAGCTAAGAAACAAACAAACAAAAAAAATAAACATCATATATTAATGATGAGCCAAAGAAAAGAAGAAGTAATATGATTCTAACAAAACTCCAACAGGTCAGTTATGGAAAAGCTGCTTTGGAACATGGCAGTTTTAACCATAGACGCGGTTTGGATGAAGATTTATTGAAGCCTTGCTTTATCCCCTCCTCATGAATATGACCTTTCTGATGCAATTCTTCCTGAAATCACTTAGTTTCATGTATGGCAGGAGTAGCAAAGTGGTGCGGTTCAGATGTTTTGGGCTGGAGCTCTAAGAGTTCTTGAGAACTGGGTACGCTAGAGGGACAAACTGGAGATGCAGTACCAAACATTTGGAGAGCATCCCGTTGCCTATCCTTGAGATATACATTTGCAAGGGTATGCATTACTCACAGATTACTCACAGCAGAGAATAACTAGAGTGTAACAGACAACATGTGGGCTTACAGATGTTGTTGGACATCAATTTCCATTGGCCTTACCCAGCACGGCTAATGCAAGGGGGTGATAGCAGCTGCAAACCAACAGCATCTGGAGGAGCACAGACTACCCACCCTTGCCCGAGAAGAAGCTGCAGCTGTTTTATACAAAAGCTACACAGAATATGTCACCTCTTTTTTCTTTTTTTTTTAAACACAGAATGAAGTTGGTCACTTCACATCCTGATAGTGTGCTGAATATTCTTTTCTCTTATCTCCAGCCAACACCGTTTTTTCATCCAATGATTTCGGGGCGGCAGAAACACAGAAAAACTGAAGTATGTGGTGATATTTTAAACAAAGAACAACGATGGCTAGATGGAGAGGAGGCCTGTTATTACCTTTGATACTTCTGTAGATGATGAAATTTTGGTAGACAATATGCAGAGGTGAGTGGTGAAAAAAGTTACATATGCTGTAATTCCCCTTTCACCCACCTATTAAGATAAAATATGCTCGTCTTCCATTGATGCACCACATGGACATTCCCTAAAGTGACTGGACCAGTGAGAAAATACTAATTGCCTATGATGGTTCATACTAAGGGTTCATGCACTCTGTGCCCCTCAGCTGTTACTAAATGGTAATTCTCAGCATTTCTCACCATTGGCTATGCTACCTAAGACTGGCATGAGCTTTAATCTGATAGCACTGAAATCATTCACCTGGATCAAGTGTATTCTGGTGGTGGGAATGTTCCTAAACAGAATTCCACTCCTAGGAGTGAGTGAGCTTGTACCAATATGGATGCCTGAAGGATTTTTGGTAGGAGAGGGGAGGTAATATACTGATAGGCTAAATTTGCATGTGTCCTTATAGCACACCTGTGTATCTTTCTTGTGTTCATGCACTCATTTAGATCACTGGTTCTTAACCCTGGGTTACTCAAGAGTTTTGGACTGCAGCTCCCAGAAGCCTTCACCACCAGCTGTCCTGACTGGGGTTTCTGGGAGTTGCAGTTCAAAAGCATCCGAGTAACAAAGGTTAAGAACCACTGATTTAGATATTTACACATGGTGAGAGAAAACAGTTAGAACCTGGAATTTAATAGCACTAATCCAGAACACAAAAGGCATCACAACCTCCGACAAAAGTTTAAGTGAAGTGAGGATGTTTTTTTAAAAATCAACCTAAGAAGAAGAAGTGGGGAGATCTGCTTAAGCATGCCGCTGAGTATTTTCTGGCTTTATGATAACCTTGGAAACTGAATATGACTTGTCAAGGAAAGACTCCATGTTGCAAAGTGATTCCCTTCATCTTGGAAACAGAGTAGAGAGGAGCAAAGTGGGTCTGCAAGGAAGGCTTTTGGCGGCAGAAGTGGAAATGGCTAGGCTTGATCAGGGTTGTGAGTTCTAGAGGAATCTGAACTGTTCATCACATTGTAATCATCCACTTTTAGCTAACTTAAAAGAACTTTCCCTGTTATTTAAATTGTGAACAGCGCGGGGGGGGGAGGGGGTTGAAGGGGAAGGAGCAGCAGAACTGCCCATTTTGAGTATGGAAAAGAGCCCTGATAGTGCCCAAGAACAGGTTTACTATTTCTGGTAGATCTGACAGCCTTGGATACCGGGCCTACCAAGAAAGATAGACCTGAAACCCATTTTTAAAACATGTGTTGTCCACATAGGATGAGAAAACAACCTCACCTCAGTTATTGCAGGTGGTTAGGGACAATACTGTATGTTGCTCTCATTGGGGGACATACATTTTAAGAACATCGGAATAGGGCTCTGATCAGCAAGAAATCTGTACCTGGTTTATTTATCTGTTGTTCCCCAATGGATAGATCTGGTGTCCAGAATATGTTTTTCTACCCACAGGTTCCCTAATATACCTCACTGCACGTAATGACTCTTGAGCCTGGTTAATAATAGGGATGGTACTTACAGTCCACCCTTTAGGTCTGTGTCAAGCCCAGACATGAAAGCTTACAGGTATAATTCAGAAATCCTCATTAGGACAATAATTTTGTTAGGATAATTCAGGTGTTACAAAATCCATGCACATTTTTTTGCAATCTGCCCCCAGCTGTGGGGGAAGAAGGGGAGAGGAAGGAGCTGACTTGATATTGAATGGATGAAGTTTACACAATATGAGTCTTCAAATAAAATGGAGGGGGTTGCTCTTCAACCTACATGCATGAGTATAACACAACGCCCTCTGTTTCTTTATAAATTGTACTCTGGGTATTACCAGCTTCACAATCCACTTTATATCTTCCTGTATAAGCCAACAATCCAAGAGGACTGGAGTACACTGCAAGGTTCTCATACACCACTCTTAATTCGCATGAACAATATATGTATAACAAGGGTAGGCACCACTTTGCAGGGCTGAAATAACCCACAGCCTTTCAGTCTCTTCTTTTTCTTGTTGTTCTGTTCTGTTAAGTCACCTCTGACTTATGGCAACCCTATGAACGAGCAATCTCCAAAATGTACTGTCCCCAACTGCTCTGCTCAGCATTTGTAAACTCATGCCTGTGGTTCCCTTAACCTTTCCCAGGATTACTGGTTTCCCCCTCCCCCCCTTAAAGAATCCTGTCTTCTCACAATGTGGCCAAAGCAGCACAACCTCAGTTTCTAAAATGTTGCCTCCAGAAATAGTTCAGCTTCATATTCTTTAGGATCCACTTGTCTGTCTTTCTGGCCATCATGGTACCTGCAAAGCTCTCTACCACCAGCTTTCAAACAAATCATTTTTAACCTGTCAGGTTTTTTTTTAACTGTCCAGATTTTATATCCATACATGGTAATCACAAATACGAGAGGGTGGATGATCTTGTTCTTGGTCTCCACTGACACATCCTTACATTTGATGATCTTTTCTAATTCCCTCATTGCTGCCCTTCAGAGTCTCGGTCTGATTTCTTGGCTGCAGACTCCATTCGAATTGATGGTTGAAACAAGGTATACAAAATTTCTGTTCCTTCATTTTTAAACACTAAAGTTGTATCGTTATTCAATTGTCAACTTTTGTCTTAATGTTTAACTGCAGTTCTGCTTTGACACTTTTTTCTTTCAGTTTTGCTAAAAATAATTTCAGGCGATTGCTGCTTTCTGCTAGTAAGATGATGTTATCTGCATATCTTAAATTGTTGTTGTTCTTTCCACCAATTTTCACTCCTCCTTCATCTGAATCTAGTCTGGCTTGCTGTATGATATGTTCAGCATATAGATTAGGGGATAAAATGCACCCTTGTCTGAGACCTTTTCCTATATGAAACCATTTTATCTCGCTATATTCTGCCTTAGAGGTAGATTCTTGTCCACGTTACAAGATATGCATCAGGGCAATCAAGTGCTGAGGCACACACATTTCTTTCAGAACAACCCATGGTTGCACATGGTTTATGCAGTCAAAGGCTTTGCTGTAGTCTATAAATTTCATCTGAAATTTTTTGGTGCTCTCCAGTAGCCAATGGATATGTGCAATATGATCTCAAGTGCCTCTTTCTGCTTGGAATCCAGCTTGAAAATCAGGCATTTTTTCACTTCATATAGAGTAAAAGTCTTTGTTGCAACACCTTGAGCATCACTTTACTCTTATGAGAAATTAAGCAGTAGTCCTGTACTTAGTGCACTCATTGGCATGAATTGTGGTGCTGGAGGAGACTCTTGAGAGTCCCCTGGACTGCAAAGAGAACAAAACTATCCATTTTGAAGGAAATCTGTTAATATATACTGTATTTTGAATGGTTAAAAACTGTTAATATATATATTTTGAATTGTTTTTATTTTGTATGTTGTGAGCCACCCAGAGTAGACTATGTCTAGATGGGCGGCATATAAGTGAAATAAAATAAAATAAAATAAAATAAAATCAACCCAAAGTGCTCACTGGAAGGACAGATTCTGAAGCTGAGGCTCCAATATTTTGGCCATCTCATGAAAAGAGAAAACTCCCTGGAAAAGATCCTGATGTTGGGAAAGTGTGAAGGCAAGAGGAGAAGGGAACGACAGAGGATGAGATGGCTGGACAGTGTCATCGAAGCTACCAACATGAATTCCGGGAGGCAATGGAAGACAGGACGGCCTGGTGTGCTCTGGTCCATGGGGTCACGAAGAGTCGGACACAACTTAAGCCTTTGTTTCTGTTATTTTCACAATATTCTCCATTTTCATTGCTGTAAGGAATTTTTTTTTGCTTGTACTAGTATAAACATTTAAGCTTCTTTTTTTCCTTCTCTACTACCTGCTATATTCACAGTAATCCACAGCCTCCAAGTATTTGTGGTAAATATAATCTGTCTACATCACTTCTGGATGTAGCCCTTGATGCCTATTCATTAGTTTCTGTGTTTTTTGATTCAATTCTTCTAATTCATTTTGGGTCCAATCTATCATTCCAGCTGGGTATCTAACTACCGGAACTGCCCATGTGTTTATAGCTTTGATTGTGTTTCCACTATTTAAATTTTATTTTAAGATGTTCCACAGTCTTTTGATATATTCCCTTTCTGTCAGTTCTTTGACTTTTGTGTGCAGGATGTTATCTGCTTC